ACACCCATTGGGGGCTTTGGGACCACCAGGGCACCCATGGGGCCAGCAGGGCTCCAACAGGAACCCGTACCCGGGGTGGATGGCAAATCCACCTCGTTCTCCTGGAAAATGGGGGGCATGGGGGGGTCATGGGGGCTTTGGGACCACCAGGGCTCCCATGGGGTACCCGTTACCCGGGGTGGATGGCGTCCACCTCGTTCTCCTGGAAAATGGGGGGCACAGGGGGGGCTCAGGGGCTGCCAGGGCACCCTTTGGGGACCAGCAGGGCACCCATGGGGGATTTGGGAGCACCAGGGCACCCACAGAGAGCACCAGGGGGGCACAGGGGCACCCCCAGGGACTTTGGGACCATCAGGGCTCCCACGGGGCCAGCAGGGCACACCCAGGGGGTACCAGGGGGGCTCAGGGGCTGCCAGGGCACCCATGGGGACAGCAGGGCACCCATGGGGGATTTGGGGGGCTCATGGAGCCACCAGGACACCCCTGTGGGGCACCCCCAATGTCCCCAGGCGTATCTGAGCTGTGTCCCCCCGTGTCCCCCCCGTGTCCCCAGGTACCCCAGGTGTATCTGAGCTGTCTCTCCCCGTGTCCCCAGGTACCCCAGGTGTATCTGAGCTGTGTCCCCCCGTGTCCCCCTGTGTCCCCCCGTGTCCCCAGGTGTCCCCCGTGTCCCCAGGTGTATCTGAGCTGTGTCCCCCCGTGTCCCCCCCATGTCCCCCCGTGTCCCCAGGTGTCCCCCGTGTCCCCAGGTGTATCTGAGCTGTCTCCCCCCCATGTCCCCCCGTGTCCCCAGGTGTGTCCCCGTACCTGTGCCACCGGATGATGTCGGGGATGTGCAGGTAGGCCTGCACGGGGGGCAGCCCCCTCCCCACCAGGTACCCCAGGTGTATCTGAGCTGTGTCCCCCCATGTCCCCAGGTGTTCCCCGTGTCCCCAGGTGTCCCCCCGTACCTGTGCCACCCGGATGATGTCGGGGATGTGCAGGTAGGCCTGCACGGGGGGCAGCCCCCTCCCCACCAGGTACGCCTCGTCCGCCTTCTGCCGGTGCATCTGCCCCGTGTCCTGCTCCGAGTACCACAGCGACCGTGCGGATCCCGAGCTCCGTGCAGGCCCGGAAAACCCTGATGGCAATCTCACCTGGGGACAGGGACAGCTCAGGGACACCCTGGGGACACCTTGGGACATGGGGACACCCTGGGGACAGGGACACAGGGACACGGGGACACAGGGACATGGCCATCGTAGTGGATGGCCCAGCTCCGTGCAGGCCCGGAAACATGCGGATGGCAATCTCACCTGGGGACATGGGGGACATTGGGGGACACAGGACAGGGCTATGGGGACATTGGGGGACACTGGGGACACAGGACAGGGCTATGGGGACATTGGGGACACTGTGGGGATAGACACAGGGACACAGGGACACAGGGACACAGGGACACAGGGACACGGCCACCGTGCAGATCCCCAGTTCTGTGCGGGCCCAGAACAGATGGGTGGCAATCTCACCTGGGGACATTGGGACACCTTGGGGATACAGGACAGGGACACAGGGACACTCTGGGGACACAGGGACACAGGGACACTCTGGGGACACAGGGACAGGGACACGGGGACACTCTGGGGACACAGCCACCATCCAGATCCTCAGCTCTGGGCACGCTCAGGACACGTGGATGGTGACTCCCTCTTGGGGACATTGGGGACAGGGGCACAGGGACACGGGGACACTCTGGGGACACTCTGGGGACACTCTGGGGACAGGGCCACCATGTGGATCCTCAGCCCAGTGCACGCCCAGCACACGTGGATGGTGGCTCCATCCTGGGGACACTTGAGGACATGGGGACACCTGGGGACACTCTGGGGACATGGGGACACCTGGGGACACCTGGGGACAACAACTTGGCAACCTCACCTGGGGCCACACAGGCTCAGGGGGGCTTCAAGGGACACTGGGGGCTCAGGGCGGCTCAGGGGGGGTCAGAGGGGTCTGAGGGTCTCAGGGGGGCTCAGGGGACATGGGGGGGTCCCAGGGGGGACTCAGGGGGGCTCAGGGGGGGCTCAGGGGGGTTTGAGGAGGGGTCTCAGGGGGGGTTTTTGGGGGGTCTCAGGGGGTCTCAGGGGGGATTTTGGGGGGTCTCAGGGGGTCTCCAGGCACTCACCCCTGTTGGCCACCAGCACCTTCCTCAGGGGCCGGTAGCTGACGGGCCTGGGGGGCTCAGGGGGGTTTTTGGGGGGTCTCAGGGGGGGTTTTTGGGGGGTCTCAGGGGGTCTCCAGGCACTCACCCCTATTGGCCACCAGCACCTTCCTCAGGGGCCGGTAGCTGACGGGCCGGGCGGGCCCGGGGGGGCCCCGGAGCAGCCGCAGCCCCAGGAGGGCGCGGCCCCCGCGGGGGCGGCACAGCTGGAACATCTGGGGGGGGGAGGGGTCGTCAGGGCAGACCCCGAACCCCCCCACGAGGGGAGAATCGCCCTCCCCTCCCCCCCCAAATCCCCTCTGCCCCACTGACCTTTGACCCCCCCTTGAGTCACAAAAAGCCCCCGGGCCCCCCCCACCCCCGCCCGCTCACCCCTGCCCCAGTGACCTTTGACCCCTCTCCCCCGGTTTGGTCTCCTCTTGCGTGGGGTCTCACCCCAAAATCCCCCCCCCCAAAAAATCCCCCGAATTCCACCCAAAATCCCCCCCCTAAAATCCCTCCAAAAATTCCCTCCAAATCCCCTCAAAAATCCCTTGAAAATCCCCAAAATTTCCCAAAAAAATTCCTCCAGAATTCCCCCCGAAAATCCCTCCCAAAATTCCCCCAAATCCCCCCCCAAAAATCCCTAAAAATCCCCCAAAAAATCCCCAAAAAATCCCCAAAAAAATCCCCCAAATCCCCACCCCCGGATTTTTACACAACCCCCCCCCCTTGCACACTCAGGGTCCTGCCCGGGCCTGTCCCCCCTTGCACAACCCCCCCTCCCCTCCCCCTCCTTGCACAATCACCTCTCCCACCACCCCCCCTTGCACAAATTTGCACAAATTTACACAAATCCCCCCCCCATTTTGCACAACCCCCCCCAAAAATCCCCGAATTGCTCAATTCCTCCCCAAATCCCCCTCCCCTTTTTGCACAAATCCCCCCCTCCTTTTGCACAACTGTCCCCCCCCTCCTTGCACAATCCCCCCCCCCCATTTTGTACAAATCCCCCCCCCTCGTTTTTTGCACAAGTGCCCCCCCCGCCCGCTGCACGACCCCAGCCCTCCCCCAGCCCCGGTACCGTCACGGTCCCGTCCCCTCTCGCTGTCCCCGGTGTCCCCCCGTGCCCGTGTCCGTCTGTCCGTCTGTCCGGTGTCCCCTCCCTTCCCTCCCGAGCCCCCCGCCGGTCCCGACCCCCCCCCCCCCCCCGGTGAATCATTGACCGGGGAGGGGCAAAGTCCGAGCGGGGGGCACCGGGGGGGGGGCGGTGGCGCCACCGAGGGGCAAACTGGGACAAACTGGGGGAAACTGGGACAAACTGGGGCAAAATGGGGGCAAACTGGGGCAAACTGGGGGAAAATGGAGGGAAATGGGGCTCTGGGCCCTATAGGGGCTCCAGAGGGGGGGCTCGGATCCTATCGGGTGTCATGGGGGGGTCTTGGACCTTATGGGGGGCTCCATAGGGGATCCCATAGAGGGTCCTGTGGGGGTCCCATAGGGGATCCTATAGGGGGTCCTGTAGGGGGTCCCAAACCCTATAGCGGATCCCATATGGGATTTTATAGGGGATCTTATGGGGGATTCTATAGGGGATCCCACAGGGGGTCCCAGGGGGTCCCGGCCCCACGGGGGCTCCCCCATTCCGCTCTGTGTGTTTGGGGGGGAGGTCGCGGGGGTCGCGGGGGTCGCGGGGGCCCCCGGGGCGGGGGGGCGGCCCCTCCTCGCCCCGAGCGCTGCCCTCCCCGGCGGGGTCATGTCGCGACAGTCGGGCGATACCGGAGGTCACGTGGTTGCTCACTCACCGCTCCGCGACCGCCGCTTCCCCCCGCGTCCCGGCGGCCCCGCTGTCCACGCCCCCTATCCCCCTATTGGCCACCCGCCAGCGGCCCCGCCCACTGCTTGCGGAGACCGCGCCCCTTTGCCCAAACATGGCGTCTTATTGGCTCGGCCGCTTCCGCCCTCGCCTCGCCATTGGTTCAATCAAATGTCACGCATCTTTCAGGCCCCGCCCCCTCCCTCCTCGCATGAGGGGGCGGGGCTCCGTGACGTCACAGCCGAGCCTCCCGCTGCCATTGGCGACTCCGCGGGCGCTGACGGGGCGGGGGCGGAGCCAAAGGGGAGGGGCGGGGTCGGGTGATCTCACGTGATTCCTGCAGGCCCCGCCCTTTACCGGATGTGCGGCGGGCGGTCCTCCCGTCCGGCAGGAGGCGCCCCTTGCCGGCCGTGGCGGCGCTCCCGGGGCCGCCAGGGGCTCTCTATGGCCGCCGCCCCCCCGGGAGTCTCCCCCAGCCCCTCAGGCAGCGATTTTGCGCTGCCCCCACACAGGGGAAGGAACTGGGGCCTTTAGGCCCCTTTAGGAGGGTGCAGGCCTCTCCCCCCGCCCTCTAAGAAGCGTCCTAGAGCCGCTCACCGCTCTTAGGAGGACATTCCAAGAGGGGATCCGCCCTATAGGAGACCCTGAGACGGGAGTGAGGGGGTGCAGAGCCCCCAAAACGCTTCTCCCACACACGAACCCCTCAGAACTTCTTCCCGTTGTTCGAAACTACAACTCCCGTCGTGCATCGCGCCACTTTAGCCGCGCGCAGGCTCAGCTTCTCCTTCTCCCGTTGCTGCCATGGCAACTGCGGGGGACCCCTTCGTTAGGCGCATGCGCATCAGCGCCGAGCTGCGGCGGGAGGGCGGTACGCGGCCATTGCGATGTTGTGATTGGTCCAGCCGCGCCGGCTCCTCCCACCTGCAGCAGGTGCGGGGCGCTGATTGGTTCCCTGGCGCCAGCACCGCCCCCGTTGGTACCGCCCCCCCCGCAGTCGGGGCGCGGCCGCCGCCCCGCACGGACGGGCTCGCTCCGCGCTCCGCCGCCGCCGCCATGGCCGATCCCGCCGCGCAGTCCTCGCTCGTCTCCTCCAGCTCCTCTTCCACCTCCGTGACCTCGTCCTCCGCCTCCTCCCCGCGGGGCCTGGTCGGCGGTTCCATGTCGTGCTCCGGTAAGGGCCGGGCGGGGCCTGAGGGGGGTGAGGGAGGTGAGGCCTCGGCGGGGGCGTGAGGGGAAGGAGCCTCTGGGCGTTGGGTGTGAGGTAAAAACCGGTTGGGAGGGGCAGAAATAGCGAGGGAAAGCATTTAAGGGGGCGGTTGTTGGGGGCAGGAGGCCTTTGGAGGGAGATTTTGGGGAAAAGCGGCGTTTGGGGGCTTGGTGTGAGGTGAAAAGTCTTTTAGAGGGAGTTAGAAATGGGAGGGGGAGAGCGCGAGGGGAAAATGAGGGAGAAAAGGCCTTGGAGGAGCAGATTTTGGGGAGCAGGGACTTGAGGGGGGGATTGGAGGGTGATGAGGCCTTTTGGGGGTGGGTGTGAGGTTGAGAGGCTTGGGGAATAAAAATGGGAGGTTAAATAAGTTTTGGGGTAAAACAGAGGAGAAAAGGCCTTTGGAGGAGCCCGTTTTGGGGAATGATGCTTTTAGGGGGGTTCTAAAGGGGAAATAAGTTTTTATAGGGGGATCTTAGAGGACAAAGAGGCTTTGAAGTGGAGATTTGGTTGGTGGAGAAGATTTTGAGAGCTTGGTTTTGATGGGCAGTGACACCTCCACCCCCACATCTCTCAGGAAAACGGGGGAAAAACGCCCAGGAAAGGGAACTTTGATGTTTTTTTTGGGGGGCTTTGGGGTCGTTGGGGACCTGCTGCTCCGTCCGTCCTCGCCTGGAATTTTGGGGAGGGGGAGTTTCCCCCTGCCCCGGTGCCCCCTTCATTCCACCCATCGCTCCAGAGCATCCTGACTCGGCAATTCCCAGCATTTCACCCCAATTTCCAATCCCGGGCACCACCAAACCCCAAAACTCCGCGGTTTCACCCCAAATCCCCCCCTCGGGTGGGGAATTTCGGGGTGACCCCCCCGGGACCCGTCCCTGCGCCGCTCCCTGCCCCAAAGGCTGGGGAAAAACGAGGTGAAAATCCCCAAAATTGGGTCCAGCCTGGAATTTTCCTGGTGGTTTTTTTGCGCCGAAGCTTTCGCTGCGCCGGCCCCGCCTCCTGGGGGGATTTTTGGGGGGGTTTGGGGCGTTTTTGGGGGGTGCCGAGCTCTCACCCTCTGTGTTCTCTTGCAGATCCCCCCAATTCTTCTTCCTCTTCCTCCTCCTCTTCCTCCTCCCAGCCCGTTTCTCTCTTTGCGGCTTCACCAGGCAAGTTCTCCCCATCTCTTCCTCCTCTTTTCCTCTGCACCCCCAGGAAGAAAAATGTCCCTAAAAAAGCCCCCCCGGATTTTGTGTGTGTGTGTGGGGGGGGGTCCCCAGAGCCACTTTGGGGACCCCCAGAGCTGTTTTGGGGCTCCCCAGGGTCGGTTTGGGGCCTTGATGTCACATCAAAGGGGGGATTTCCCCCCCAAAAATGGATTTGGGGGGGGGCACAAACGCTGCTGAGCCCCCCCCCGAAATGGGGCAACAAAAGGTTAAACTTGCCCAAAATGGACATTTTTCTTTTGCTCTCTTTTCCTGCTCTTTAACTCGGTTTCTTCTCCCTTTTTCGGGGTGAGCCCCCCCAGCTTTGCCCCCTGCACCCCAAGGCTGCTGCTCCCCCCCCCCACCCAAAGCTTTGCACGACCCCCCCCCGCTGCTGCTGAAGGTGAAATTCGTCGTTTTTTGTGGTTTGGCCTCAAAATTCCTGCCCCCCCCCCCCCCCCCCAGCCCTGACCCGCCTGCGCCGAGTCCCACCCGCCACTGGGGGGGGCTGAAACTGAGGGGGAGAGACCCCAAAATCCCCCCCAAAATGAGGAGGGGGCTGAAGGAACCCCCGGCCTCGCTCCAGACCCAAAACCGGGGGATTTCACCCCAAAAATAGATGGAGGGACACCCCCAGTTTTCAGCACCCAGAGCTGGAGGTTTGGGGTGTCCCCCCCCCACATCATTCTGAACCCAAACCGAGGGGTTTTACCCCAAAATGGGGTTTGGGTTTGGTTCCAAAATGGGCTTTTTTAGCCCTAAAATGGGGTTTGGGTTTGGTTCCAAAATGGGCGTTTTTAGCCCCAAAATGAGATTGAGGTTTGGTTCCAAAATGGGCTTTTTTAGCCCTAAAATGGGGTTTGGGTTTGGTTCCAAAATGGGCGTTTTTAGCCCCAAACCGGGGTCTCTCCTCCCTGGATTTTGGGGTGTATTTGGGGAGGGGGTGGGGGGAGCCTCTGTGCCGCCGCTTGTCCCCCCCCACCCTGCATGGGGGGACCCCCAAAATTCTCTGGGGGACCCCAAAACCGCCCCACGCATGGCTGAGATCGGGGGAACCCCAAAATCCTGCCTGGGGACCCCAAAACTGCCCCCCCCCCCCCGCATGGCTGACCCCAAAATTCTCTGTGGGGGAGGAGACACAATGGGGGGAGGGGACCCCAAAACCGCCACCATGGCTGGGATTGAGGGGGGGGACCCCAAAACCCGCTGGGGGTGCCCAAGGCCACCAAATGGGGGGGACAGAATGGGGGGGACCCTCAGAACGGGGACAGGGGGACCCCAAAACCCCCCTGGGCGTGCCCCAGGCCACCAAACGGGGGGGACCCTCAGAACGGGGGGGACCCCAGAACCCCCCTGGGGGTGCCCCAGGCCACCAAATGGGGGGGCCAAAATGGGGGGGACCCTCAAACGGGGGACAGGAGGACCCCAGAACCCCCCTGGGCGTGCCCCAGGCCACCAAATTGGGGGGCACAGAACAGGGGCACCCTCGGAACGGGGCCAGGGGACCCCCTGACCGTGTCCCCCCCTCCGCAGCGGCGCCGGGCGGGCGGGACCGGGGTCCGGCCCCGCTGGGGGGGATCCCGCAGAGCCCCCCCGAGTCCCCGGAGTCGCCGTTCGAGGTGGTCCCGGACCGCGCCGCCTTCGACCGCGAGTTCGGGCCCGCCCTGGCGCAGATCCCCGAGGGCCGCGAGTGCCACTTCCCGCCCCAGCCCCGCGGCGGCACCGGCGGCGGCCCCGGGCGGGCGGCGCTGGGCCGGCCCCCGCCCGGCTCGGCGGCGGCGCTGGAGGAGGTGTCGCGGTGCGTGCGGGAGATGCACAGCTTCACCAGCGAGCTGCTCTCCTGGCACCTGGTGGAGCCGCAGGGCCACGGCGACACCGGCGACAGCGGCGGGGACAGCGGCGGGGACAGCGGCGATGGCGGCGTCAGGAACGGCATTAACGGCCTGGGGAACGGCGGCACCGGGGGCACCTCAATGGGGAACGGTGGCACCGGGGGCACCGGCACTGGGAGCGGCACCATCGGGGTCACTGCCGTGGGGAATGGTGGCACCGCAATGGGGAAAGGTGGCACCGGTGTCACCTCAGTGGGGAATGGTGTCACTGGTGTCACCTCAGTGGGGAATGGCGTTAGTGGCATTGGGAATGGTGTCATTGGTGTCACCACAATGGGGAATGGTGTCACCAGTGTCACCTCAGTGGGGAATGGTGTCACTGGTGTCACAAGCATTGGGAATGGTGTTAGTGGCATTGGGAATGGCATCATTGGTGTCACCAGTGCTGGGAATGGTGTCACCGGTGTCACCAGTATTGGGAATGGTGTCACTGGTGTCACTGCCATGGGGAATGATGTCAGTGCTGTCACCACAATGGGGAAAGGTGTCACCAGCACTGGCAGTGGCATTACCAGTGTCGCTGCCATTGGGGATGGTGTCACTGGCGCCGGGAGCAGTGTCACCGCTGTCACCAGTGTCCCCAGCATTGGGAATGGCATCGCTGGTGTCACCAGTGTCCCCGGCATTGGGAATGGCGTCGCTGGTGTTGGCAGTGGCCTCGGGGGTGGCATCGGCAGCGGTGTCACCGGCATCGGGAGTGACGTCACCGCCCCTGGGAATGGTGTCCCCAGCGGTGGCATCGCCGCTGTCCCCGCTGTCCCCACGGACGCCGACAGCTCCGGTGACTCCGACGACACCGTCATCGAGGAGGCGCCGGGCGAGGCCGCCCCTGCTGTGCCCCGGGATGTCCCCAAGGGTGTCCCCGAGGGTGTCCCCAAGGATGTCCCCAAGGCTGTCCCCGCTGTCCCCGTCCCGCCGGGCTCCCGGGACTGGGAGCAGGAGCACCAGACCCTGCGGGCGCTGCAGGAACTGGGGGAGCCCCCCCAGGCCCCCCCGGCCGGGCCCCTGCCCCGCCTGGCAGGTAAAGCCCCAAAAGGGCCCCATGCACCCCAAAAGGGCTTTGTGTACCCCAAAAAGGGCTTGTGCACCCCTAAAAGGGCTTTGTGTACCCCAAAAGGGCCCTGTGCACCCCAAAAAGGGCCTTATGTACCCCAAAAAGGGCCCTGTGCACCCCAAAAAGGGCCCTGTGCACCCCAAAATGGCCCTGTGCACCCCAAAAGGGCCCTGTGCACCCAAAATGGCCTTGTGCACCCCAAAAAGGGCCCTGTGCACCCCAAAAGAGCCCCGTGCACCCCAAAAAGGGCCCTGTGCACCCCAAAAAGGGCCCTGTGCACCCCAAAACGGCGCCGAAAGCAGCAGGGGGGCAGGGGGCTGTGGATGGAGCCCAGATTGGGGTAAAAAAGAGGAGAAATGGGGAGGGCCCAGCCCTGAGGGCTGCGGGGAGGGGAGGCTCAGGGGTGCCTTGGTTTGGGGTAAAATCTGGGGATTTGGGGTAAAATCCGGGGGTTTGGGGTAAAATCCGGGGGTTTGGGGTAAAATCCGGGGATTTGGGGCCAAACCCGCCGGCACATGGAGGGGGGGGGATAATTAACGCCTGGTTTTAATGGGGGGCCGTAATTAATTAAGGGCTGTGTGTAATGAAGGGGCTGTTTTAATGAGCGAGGGTAACGAGTGCGTTCAGGGGGAAGAGGGAAAGTGGCACCGGGGCCAATGGGGGTGGGGACAGCGCAGGGAGCACCTGTGACCCCCCCCACCCCGTGTCCCCTCCTTGTCACCCCCTCTTGTCACCCCCTGTATCTCCCCTGTGCGTCCCCTCCACATCCCCTGTGTGACCCTGTCTGTCCCCCTGTCTGTCCCCTGTCTGTCCCCCCTGTGACCCCTCTGTCCCCTGTCTGTTCCCCACTGTGACCCCCCTGTCCCCCTGTCTGTCCCCGTGTGTTCCCCTGTCTGTCCCCTCCATGTCCCCCTGTCTGTCCCCTCCATGTCCCTCTGTCTGTCCCCCTGTCTGTCCCCTCCTTGTCCCCCATATGATCCTGTCTGTCCCCTGTCTGTCCCCCTGTCTGTCCCCTCCATGTCCCCCTGTCTGTCCCCTGTCTGTCCCCCCTGTAACCCCCTGTCTGTCCCCACGTGTTCCCCTGTCTGTCCCCCTGTCTGTCCTTGTGTCCCCCTGTCTGTCCCCCTGTCTGTCCCCTCCATGTCCCCCTGTCTGTCCCCCTGTCTGTCCCCGTGTTCCCCTGTCTGTCCCCCTGTCTGTCCCCTCCATGTCCCCCTGTCTGTCCCTGTGTCCCCCTGTCTGTCCCCCTGTCTGTCCCTGTGTCCCCCTGTCTGTCCCCCTGTCTGTCCCCCTCCATGTCCCCCTGTGTGTCCCCCTGTGACCCCGCTGTCCCTGTGTGTCCCCAGCCATTCAGGACCTGCTCTTCTGGCGGGATGTGAAGAAGAGCGCGGTGGCCTTCGGCGCCAGCCTGGTGCTGCTGCTGTCGCTGGCCACGCTCAGCGCTGTCACCGTGGTGGCGCACGTGGCGCTGGCCCTGCTCTCGGTCACCATCAGCCTCAGGGTCTACAGGGCCGTGGTGCAGGCGCTGCAGAAATCCGACGAGGGGCACCCCTTCAGGTGGGCCTGGGGGTTTGGGGTCCCCAGGGTGGGTTTGGGGGTTTGGGGATCCCCAGGGTGGGTTCGGGGGGTTTGGGATCCCCAGGGTGGGTTTGGGATCCCCAGGGCGGGTTTGGGGGGTTTGGGATCCCCAGGGTGGGTTTGGGGTCCCCCAGGGTGGGTTTGGGGGGTTTGGGGATCCCCAGGGTGGGTTCGGGGGGTTTGGGGTCCCCCGGGTGGGTTTGGGGGGTCTGGGAGCTTGGGGACACCCCCAGCCCTGGTTTGGGGACAGTGGTGTCACCATGGGGGGGACGCGCTGGGGGGTCTGGCTGAGGGTTTGGGGAGGGGTTCAGGGGGGTTTGGGGGTGTGGGTGGGGATTTTGGGGGTGTGAAGGAGAATTTTGGGGTGTGGATGGTGATTTTGGGGTGTGAACAGGGATTTTGGGGTGTCCCCCCCTCAATCTCTGACCCGGACCTGACCCTGTCCCCCAAGACCTTCCAGGACATGGTGGGATAGAGATGAATTTTCACATTTAGACACAAACTTTGGGGCGCAGATGCAGCTGTTGGGGATCAGGGCGGGGATTTTGGGGATCAGGGCAGGGATGTTGGGGTGCAGATGCAGATGTTGAGGTGCAGATGCAGATGTTGGGGTGCAGATTTTGGGGATCAGGGCAGGGATGTTGGGGTGCAGATGCAGATGTTGGGGTTCAGGGCGGGGATGTTGGGGCGCAGATACAGCTGTTGGGGTGCAGATGCAGATGTTGAGGTGCAGGGCAGGGATGTTGGGGTGCAGGTGCAGCTGTTGGGGTGCAGATGCAGCTGTTGGGGCGCAGATGCAGATTTTGGGTTGCAGGTGTAGCTGTTGGGGATCAGGGCAGGGATGTTGGGGCGCAGATGCAGCTGTCGGGGTGCAGCTGTCGGGGTGCAGCTGTCGGGGTGCAGCTGTCGGGGTCCCCCTCCCCAGAGCGTACCTGGACCTGGACGTGGCGCTGTCCCCCGAGAGCCTCCAGGCGCACGCGGCCGCGCTGGCCCAGCAGCTGAACCGGGCCCTGCGCCTGCTGCTCCACCTCTTCCTGGTGGAGGACCTGGTGGATTCCCTGGAGGTGCGCAGCCTTCCTCCCCCTCCTCCCCCTCCCCGACCCCCAAATCCCCCCAGGACCCCCCAAAACCTCTCGTGTGCCCCCCAGCTCGCCCTGACCATGTGGCTGATGACCTACGTGGGAGCCGTGTTCAACGGCATCACCCTCCTCATCCTCGGTGAGACCCCCCCGCTCTCCCCACAGGGGTTTGGTTTGGGGGTGGTGACCCCCAAATTGCCACGGAGGGGGGGTTCCCCCCAAATAACCCCCCCTACCCCCCCTTTTTCCCCAGCCGACATCTTGGCCTTCACCTTCCCGCCCCTGTACGAGAAATACGAGGTGAGCCCGGACTGAAACCCCCCCAATTAAAGGGGATCCCCCCCAAAATCAAGGGGGACACCCCCAAAATCAAGGGGGACACCCCCAGAAATGGGGGGACACCCCTGAAATCCCCATTTTTCCCCCCAATCCAGGTGCAGATCAATCACTACATGGCCCTCGTCCGCCACCAGACCAAGGACCTCATGGCCAAGTAGGTGCTCATGGGACCCCCCCAAAAATCCTGGGGACCCCCTAAAAAAATCCTGAAGAGTCTCAAAACATCCTGGGGACCCCCCAAACATCCTGGGGACCCCCCAAAAAGCCCTGGGGACCTCCCAAAAAATCCTGGGGACTCCCCCAAAATTCCTGGGGCCCCCCAAACCGTGATCTCTGCCCTCTCTCTGTAGGATCCAGGCGAAGCTCCCGGGCCTGGCCAAGAAGAAGCCGGAATAAACCCCGGGGTGGGGGAGGGGGAGTTTGGGGGTACCCAGCGCTGCCCCCCCCCCACTCCAAGCTTGTCTGTCCCCCCCCCCCCAAACTCCACCCACCCCCCCAAAGTTTGTTCCCCTCCCCCAATCTCACAGTGACGTCCGTCTGTGCCCCCCCCACCTCCCCCCAGTTGAAATGGGGGGGGGGGGAGTGAACCCCCAAAATCGCCCCCCCCGGGGGGGCCCCCCCAAGCTCGTTCCCCCCCCCCAGTTTTATTTTTTTAAGGTTAATTGAGGTGAAATGTCTGTAACTGCTGTAAATGGGGGAGGGGGGGCTCGGCCCCGCCCACAGCCCCCCCAGACCGCGCCCCCCAACCCCCCCTCGCTGCTGGGGGGTGGGAAATGGGGGAGACCCCCCCCCCCCCCAAAAAAACATCCACCCGCGGGGCTGCGGCCACAATAAAACATCGCGACAAGGCTGGGGTGCTCTGTGCTGGTGACACCCCAAAAATGTTCCCGGGACCCCCCAAAATGTCCCCAGAACCCCCTCAAAAATGTCCCTGGGACCCCCGCAAAATGTCCTTGGGACCCCCCCAAAATGTCCCCAGAACCCCCTCAAAAATGTCCCCAGAACCCCCTCAAAAATGTCCCTGGGACCCCCCCAAAATGTCCTTGGGACCCCCCCAAAATGTCCCCAGAACCCCCTCAAAAATGTCCCTGGGACCCCCCCAAAAATGTCCCCGGGACGTCCGCAAAAATGTCCCCCCCAACGTTGTCCCTGTGTCCCTTCAGATGCCCCCCCCAAATGACCCCCCCAGATGTCCCCCAAATGTCCCCAAGACCCCGGGGGTCTCTGGGGGGATTTATTGGGGGGTTGTGTACAAGGTGGGGGGGGGACACAGACACATAAATAAAGTGACACCGGGGGGGGTGACACTGAGGGGGTGACAGTGACACTGAGGGGGGGGTGACAGTGACACCAGGGGGGTGACACTGGGCGGGGTGACAGTGACACTGAGGGGGGGGTGACAGTGACACCAGGGGGGTGACACTGAGGGGGTGACAGTGACACTGAGGGGGGGGAGTGACAGTGACACCAGGGGGGTGACACTGGGGGGCGTGACAGTGACACCACCGAGGGTGACACTGGGCGGGGGGGGTACAGGTGTGGCTCTGTTGTGGGGACACTGGGGGGGTCACCGGTGTCCCCACTGTCCCCATGGGGTGTCCCCTGTTGTCCCCTCCCACCCCCCCTCCCGCAGTGTCCCCATCAGGCAGGGGGGGCCCCTGTGCCCCCCACCCCCCCTGCGGCCTCTTCCTCCTTCTCTTCTTCCTCATCTTCCTCCTCCTCAGCGGGGCCGGGGGCTGGCAGGGCTGGGGGGGACAGTGCTGTCACCTCCTGTCACCTCCTGTCCCCTCCCTTTCCCCGTGCCCTGCCAGCGGTCAGGGACGTGCCAGTGTCCCCAACATCTGTGTCCCCATTGTCCCCCAGGTGCCACCCCCCCCAGTGTCCCACCTTTGTCCCCATTACCTCCAGCACCCCACACCCTCCCTGTCCCCTGTCACCGGTGCTGTCCCCACAGGTGGCACTTTGGCCACGGTGTCCCACTGTCCCCAGGGGTGGCACTTTGTCCCCCTTTCACCGTGGCTGTCCCCTCTGTGTCCCCTGTCCCCTCTCACCATTGGTGTCCCTGTCGTGTCCCCCCGTCCCTGTCCTGTCCCCGCTGTCCCCTCTCACTGTCGGTGTCCCCGTGGTGTCCCCGCTGTCCCCACCATGTCCCCCCCCATCCCTGCTGTCCCCTCTCACCATTGGTGTCCCTGTGGTGTCCCCGCTGTCCCCTCTCACCGTCGCTGTCCCCTCTGTATCCCCGCTGTCCCCGCAGGCTGTCGGGGTGTGTGGCCCTGTCCCCACCATGTCCCCCCCATCCTGGGTGTCCCCTCTCACCGTGGCTGTCCCCTCTGTGTCCCCGCTGTCCCCTCTCACTGTCGGTGTCCCCGCGCTGTCCCCGCTGTCCCCTCTCACCGTGGCCGTCCCCTCTGTGTCCCCGCTGTCCCCTCTCACCGTGGCTGTCCCCTCTGTGTCCCCGCTGTCCCCTCTCACCGTGGCTGTCCCCTCTGTGTCCCCGCTGTCCCCGCAGGCTGTCGGGGTGCGCGGCCAGCGCGTGCCTCCGGATGTCCCCGAGGTGCAGCGAGGGCAGGGGGCGGGAGCAGCGCAGGCAGCGCAGGCGGTGCCCCCCGGCCTCCAGGTCCAGCAGCAGCTCCGCCCGCAGCCACCCCCGCAGAGAGTCCCCAAGGGCCACCACCCCCCCTGGGGACACCTTGGTGGCCCTGGGGGACGGGGGACGGGGCCCTGCGCGAGGGGACAGCGCGGTCAGCAAGGGGGGAAAGAGGGGACAGAGGGGCTGGGGACACTTTGGGGACAGGCCAAGGGTCACTGGTGACGCTTTGGGGACATTGGTGACAATTTGGGGACATTGGTGACACTTTGGGGACACTGGTGATGCTTTGGGGACATTGGTGACGCTTCGGGGACCTGCGGCTGGCGCTGCGGCCATGGGAGGAGCCGCAGAGGGGGCGGGGCTGAGGGGCTGGGTGTGGTCTGGGTGGGGCCGCTCTTAAAGGGGCAGTGACAGCTGAAAGGGGCGGGGCTTGGTGAAGGGGTGTGGCCAGATATGGGCGTGGCATTTAAAGGGGAAGTGCCACTCGCTGAAAGGGGCGTGGCTTGCACAGAAAGGGTTGGGGCTACAGCCAAAGATGGCGTGGTCAATGTAGCACTGTACTGAAAGAGGGCGTGGCCTGAAGTTAAATGGGGCGTGGCCACACTTAAAGGGACAGGTCCTAGTAAAGGGGCGTGGCCCTATTTAAAGGGACAGAGCTGCTCCTAAAGGGGCGTGGCTCCATTTAAAGGGACAGAGCAGCTCCTAAAGGGGCGTGGCTCCATTTAAAGTGACAGAGCTGCTCCTAAAGGGGCGTGGCTCCATTTAAAGTGACAGAGCTGCTCCTAAAGGGGCGTGGCTCCGTTTAAAGTGACAGCACCCCCCTCAAACCTCTCCGCCCCACCTTGCCCAGCCCTGCCTGTACCTGTCCCGTGGGTGCCAGCCCCGGGGGCTCCCTGGGGCCGGGGGGGCTGTCCCAGGCGCGCGTCCCAGGAGCGCAGCACCAGCTGCTTCTCGCGCGGCCCCCAGGCCCCGGAGTAGGGGTGTTTCTGGCGGATGTGGCGCTTGATGGTGCTGAGCTTGAGCGTGGCCAGGGCGCTGCCGCACACCAGGCAGCGCATGCCGTGCCGCGCCGCGTTGAACTCCATCAGGTACTCGGAGCGCCAGCGCTCGTGGTAGTAACGGCGATGGTCCCGGCCCGGAACGCGGCTCCGGCCCGGCCGCGACGCCCGCCACTCCCGGGGCTGCTCCCGGGGCCTTTCCTGGGGCTTCTCCTGGGGCTTCTCCCGGGGCTTCTCCTGGGGCTTTTGGGGCTGCTCCCGGGGCTTCTGGGGCTGCTCCCGGGGCTGCTCCCGGGGCTTTTGGGGCTTTTCCTGGGGCTGCTCCCGGGGCTGCTTCTGGGGCTTCTGAGGGTGCTCCTGGAGCTGCTCACAGGGCTGGTCCTGGGGCTCCTGGAGCTTTTTCTGGGGCTTTTGGGGCTGCTCCTGGAGCTTTTCCCGGGGCTTTTGGAGGTGCTCCCAGGGTTGGTCCTGGCGCTGCTCCTGGGGCTTTTCCTGGGGTTTTTGGGGCTTTTCCTGGGGCTTCTGAGGGTGGTCCTTGGGCTTCCCCCAGGGCTGCTCCCAGGGTTTCTGGAGCTGCTCCTGGGGCTCCTCCCGGGGCTTCTTCAGGGGCTGCTCCCAGTGCTGCTCCCGGGGTTTCTCCCGGTGTTTCTGGGGCTGCTCCCGGAGCTTCTTCCGGTGTTCCTGAGGTTTCTCCCGGGGTTTCTCCCGGGGTTTCTCCCGGGGTTTCTCCCGGGGTTTCTGTGGCTCCGGGCTCTGGCACAGCCCCCGCGGGGAAGGGGCTGCAGGGAAGGCCGGGGAGGGAGGTCCAGGCATGGAGGAGGTTCAGGGGGGATTTGAGGGGTGGGGGGGACACCAAGGATTAGGGGCAAAGCTGGGGGGGTCTTAAAGGGACAGAGCAGTGAAATGGGGGGGGGACAGGAGAACTTAAAAGGGGCGGGGGGGTTCTTAAAGAGGCAGGGTCCTTAAGTGAGGAGGGGGTGGGGAAGGGAGGGGCACATCCTCAGGGGACAGGGACATCCTGAATTCCTGTGGGCATCTCCAAGGGACAGGGATCCTTGAAGGGGACGGGGACACCTTAAAGGGACAGGGAGGTCCCAAACTGGATGGGGCCGTGAGGGATGGACGGGGACATCCTGAATTCCTGGGGACATTTTCAAGGCACTGGGATAATTTCAAGGGACGGAGCGTCGGACAGGGGCACCCTAAATAGAACCAGGTCACCTTAAAGGGACAGGAACCCGTTAGAGAGCCCGGGGCCGATGACAGGGGATGGCAAAGGGCTGGGGACCCCCCCGGGGGTCGGGGGGCTTCTTGAAGAGCCAGCGCCGCTCCCATTGTGTACCAAGGGGGTGGGGGTCCCACCGCACCCCCCGCTCCCCCCCCGCCGTCTCGGTGCTCACCTGGGCCGGGGCCGGGGCCGGGGCGGGGGCCCGGGGGCTCCATGGCGGGGCCCGGGGCGGCGGCGGCGGCGGGCGGGGGCCGGCCGGGGTGGGGACGCTGCCGTGGGGCCCCTGGGGCTCCTTTAAGGGCTCCTGGGTAAATTTAAAGGGGCCGCACGCCTTTCCCATCCCCCTCGCCCAGAGCCCGCCCCTCCCCATAACGGGGGGCTGCGGGGGGGGGGCGATGAGCGCCCGGCGGGTCTCAGCCCAGCCCCCCCATCCAGAGGAGCCACAGCGGTGATTTTAAAGGGGGGATCCCCCCATGATGGGGGGGATCGGGGAGCCCCTGGATGCTCCCCTATGCCCCCCCCTCCATCCCCGCCCGGGGGTGCCCCGAGCGATGGGGAGCCCATGGAACCCCCTCCCCCATCCCGGCCCCGCCCCTTTGGTCCAAAGGGGGCGTGGTTGATTGAGGACACGCCCTTCTCTGGCTGGCCCCGCCCCTTCCCAGTGCCCCCTCCCAGTACTCCCAGTGCACACAAAGAGCTCCCTTTCCCCCAAAATCAGGGAGGACCCGGGGGTCCCGCAAAGACCCCCAGATTCAGGGAGGGTCCAGGTATCCAGGAGAGCCCCCCAAATTCGGGGAGGGTCCAGGTATCCAGGAGAACCCCCCCAAATTCAGGGAGGGTCCAGGTATCCAGGAGAGCCCCCCAAATTCGGGGAGGGTCCAGGTATCCAGGAGAGCCCCCCAAATTCGGGGAGGGTCCAGGTATACAGGAGAACCCCCCCAAATTCGGGGAGGGTCCTGCGGTCCCGGCCGCCCTCCGCCCCATCCTGGGGTCCCCATCCGGGCACGGGAGGGGGATTCGGCTCCGCTCGGGTGTTTCCGTCAGGGGCGGAAGCGCCCGAAGGCTGCCAAAAGGTGTTCGGGTATTTCCGCATCCACTCGGGTGTTTCGGCCTCACTCGGGTATTTCCGGCTCCACTCGGAGTCGCGGCGGCGCGGGCGGCGCTCGGCTCTTCCCGCTGGGCTCGGCGGAAAGTACCGAAGGAATCTTCGTGTAATTCCGTCGCGGAGGCGGAAAGACTCGAAGTCTGTGACGGCCGCGAGCCGAACCTGTCCGGGAAGAGCCGAAGCAGCGCGGGGAGGCGTGTCGGGTGTTTCCGGCGCGGCGGCGGAAATGGCCGAGGGCCGGCGGCGGCCGCCATGTTGGGAGCCGCGGGGCGCTGAGGCGGCGGCGGCGGCGTGAGGCGGCGGCGGCGGCGGCCGGGCCGGGCCGGGCGGACCCCGCCCGCTCCCCCTGCTCCTCTCCCGGCCCCCCAAATGCCGCTGGCCTGGCCCCCCCCCGCCCCCTGAGCTCCCCCGCTTCCCCTTCCCCCTCCCCGCACACCGCCTGCCGCGGCTTCCCCCTATCGCGATAGTCGCCGGCGGCGCGGGGGGGGGGCCGCCATGTCGAGCAGCGGTCGCAGCCCTTTGCCGACCGTCAACGAGAGGGACGCGGAACAGGTGAGGGAGGGACGGCGGGGATCGGGTGGGGATGAAGGGGGAGCCGGTTCCAGCGTGAGGGGAGAGGGGCGGGCTGGGGGAAAAAGGGGAATTTTGTGAGGGGAAAAGGGGACTGAGGGATCCTGGGGGGGTTTTGGTGAAGGCAAAAGGGGGATCTGAGGGAAGAAAAAAGGGGTTGAGGGGATGGTGAGCCGGTTTGTGAGAGGAAAAGGGAGTTTGGGGTGGGTTTGTGACGGGGAAAAGGGGCTCTGAGGGGCTCGGGGACTGATTCGTGAGGGGAAAAGGGGGGATCTGAGAGGGTGAAAAGAAGGATTGGGGGGGTCCTGGTCCCGTCCGTGCGGAAAAAAATGGGAACTGAGTGGGTCCGAGGCGTTTGTGAGACGGGAAAAGGGTCTTAGAGGGGCCTGAGTAATTCTGTGAGGTAGAAAAGGTGTTTTGAGGGGGACCTGGGCTGGTTTTTGAGGGGGAAAAAGGGGGATCCGAGAGGGAAAGGAGGAGGAGAGAGTCTGGGGCTGTTCTGTGAGGGGAACCAGGGGGTCCTGGGCCACTCTGAGAGCACTGAAAAGGGTCTGGGGTCTGTTTGCGAGGGGGAAGTGAGGCCTGAAAGGGATTAGAGACAATTTGTGAGGTAAAAAAGAGTGTTTGACGGGAACCTGGGTGGGTTTTTGGGCGAAAAAAGGGATCTGAGAGGGAAAATAAGGGAGTGTAAGGGGGTCTTGGGACATTTTTGGGAGTGAAAAAGGAGATCCTGGGGTGTTTTATCTGGAGAAAGGAGGGGATTTCAGGGGATCTGGGGGGATCTGGATCCCTCTCTGAAGGAAAAGAGGCACTGAAGGGGTTTGGGATTGTTCTGTGAGGGAAGAGGGGGCTCTGAGGGGCCTCGGGGCCCCTCTGTGAGGTGCAAAAGGGGGGCCCGAGGGTGCCCCCAGTTCCTCTCTCCCACCCCCAGGAGGGACCCCGGGGTCTCCTGCAGCCCAGAGCCTCCTGTGGGGTGGGGGGTCCTGAGCCGGGGCCCCTTTAGGGCCGGGTTCGGTGTGGGGAGAGTGCTCTGGGCTTCTCGTGGGATGAGCCCCTCCCCGAATTTAGGGCTCCCATTTCGGGGTTCCCTTTGGGCCAGCAGTGGGGGTTTGTGTGCACAACCCCGAATTTAGGGGTCCCATTTCGGGGTTCCCTGCACCAGTGGGGGTTTGTGTGCACAACCCCAGATCTTGGCTGAGGGGGTCAAGCCTTGCACCCCAAATGTAGAGGAGCAAGCAGGGGGGTGCCAGACCCCCACATTGAACCCCCAGGCTCTGGGATCTGCTGGGGGGGGGCAAGTTTGGGGTGTCATTGTCGCCCCCCCAGCTCGGTGGCTGCACGATCGGGGCTGTGGGGGCGTCAGCCCACCCCTTCCCCACCCCCTTCCCTTCCCTTCCCTGCTGCGGCCCCCCCAAACCGGGGGGGCTGTGGGGGCGGTGGCAGCGCTGCCACGGGCTCGGCGCCCTCCCCGGGCTTTGGGGGGGCTCGGAGGGGTGAACCCCCCAAATCCCTCCTGTTCTGAGCCCTGTGAGCGGGACCAGCCCACCCCCAGCGTGGGGAATTTGGGGCTCGCCCCCCTTGTGTGTTTGGGGTTTGAGGGGGGTTTCCTTTGGGGGGGTTCCCCAATTTGGGGGTGGATTTGGGGGGGGCTCTTGGGGTCCCTCTCTGCCCTCAGCTCCTGTGGCTGCGGGGGGACCCCGCTGCTGGCTCGGCCCTTTTGGGGAGCACCTGGGGGGCTCCTCAGTTCCCCCAGCTGTGTGACACCCCCGTTTTGGGGGATATTTTGGGGAGATTTCCCCCTTTCTGTGACCGCGGAGCCCCCCCAGAGCTGGGGTGTGACCCCAGCAGGGCGCGTGGGGGCCCAGGTGGCCTCGTGTCACTGTCCCCAAACCCGAGGACGAGGCGATGCCACCTGTTCCGTGCCCGTGGCTGTGGCACCGAGCCCCCCTCTCCTCGTTTTGGGCGCTTTTCCTCTCATTTATCCGCTGTTATGTAACGCCAGAGCAAAATTATTCCTGGCTGGGAAGATTTGGGGAGGGGGCGGCAGCGCCGTGCGGGGGGGGCTGCGCATCCCCCCGGGCCCAGCAGCTGAAATTGGGGGGTCTCTCCCTGCCCCCCCCAGCCCCCAGTCCCTCCCTCACACGGAGCCCGATCTGGTGGGGTTGGAGATAAAAAAAAAATCTTCAAAAATGCCTAAATTTGGCTGACATTTGAGCGGCGCCGCACGAACCAGCGCTGCCTCCCCGGCTGCCACCGCTGCGGCGAGCCCGGGGTCCCGGTGACACCGGCCCTGGGGACACCCCAGGGGCTGCTCCCAGTGCCGCCAGTTGGCACCAGTTTGGTGCTGGCAGCCCGGGGTCCCGGTGACACCGGCCCTGGGGACACCCCAGGGGCCGCTCCCAGTGCCACCAGCTGGCACCAGTTTGGTGGCATCGACACCTCCCGGCACCGGGATCCTCACACATGCCTGGTGACATCGCCACAGCTGCAGTGACATCACTGCTGGGCCTGGTGACATCACTGCTGGGCTGGTGACATCACTGCTGGGCTGATGACATCACACCATACCCAGTGATATCACTGCTGGGGTGGTGACATCGCTGCAGCTCTGGTGACATCATGGCAGCTCTGGTGACATCACTGCTGGGCTGGTGACATCATGATAGCCCTGGTGACATCCCTGCAGCCTCAGCACTGTCACTGCTGCCACCATTCCAGTGGGAATTCCAGTGGCACTTCCAATGTCCATTCCAGTGTCCAATGTCCATTCCAGTGTCCAATGTCCATTCCAGTGCCCATTCCAGTGCCCGTTCCAGTGTCCAGTCCAGTGCCCATTCCAGTGTCCAGTGTCCATTCCAGTGTCCAGTGTCCATTCCAGTGTCCATTCCAGTGTCCAGTGCCCATTCCAGTGCCCATTCCAGTGTCCAGTGCCCATCCCAGTGTCCATCCCAGTGTCCAATGTCCATTCCAGTGTCCGTTCCCCGTTCCCACCCTCCTGGCTCTGTCCCCCCCCCGGTTGCTCCCGTTGCCGGTTTTCCCCTTTCCCGCCCCGTTTCTCTCCCCGCCCCGCCGCTCCAGGTGTTCCCCGGCCCCACCCCGCGCTGTCCCGCTGCGGCCTCAGCCCCAACCGGTCGGGCCGGTCCCCGCTCCCTCCCTCCCCTCCCTCCGTCCGTCCCTCCCGCCGCTCCCGGCGCTTCGGGGTGCCCAGGGTGAGTCCCCTCGCGGGGCGGGCGGGCTGGGGAAACTGAGGCACGAGGGGGCTCCGCGGCCTGAGCGCCGTTCCCGAGCGCCGCCGCCGCCACGGGAGCCCCGCGGCCTTGCCACGGCCCGTGCCCGGTGCCGCTGCCGTTCCCCCGGTGTGACCCGGGCCGGGCGGTGCCTCCTTTGCCGTCTTCGCCGTGGTTTTGGGGGCTCGCCGATAAACGGAGGAAACACCGGGAGCCCCGGGGGGGTTCGGGGGTGCTGGTGCCGGGGGGGGGGCTCCGGTGTCGGTGCCGCCTCAGAGCCCGAGCGGATCCCGGCAGCAGCGCGGCCAGATGGCTCCGCACGCTCCCGCCCCGTTGCCACGGCAGTTTTTTGGCAGAAATTCCCGTTTTTCCTTCACTTTTCCCACAGCACCGCGGGCTGGGCTTCGGGGGGAGGGGGAAGCTCCGGTCGCCCCCCCGGGCCCCAAAGCGGCGCCTTCTCGCCCCAAATCTGGGGGTTCGCTTGCGCCATCGCCGGCGCCTCCCCCGTGGCTTCCGCCGCCGGTTTCCTTCCCACGGAGGGGGAGGGGGCGCCCCGAGCTGTGCCCCCACAAAACCAAACCCGAAGCCGGGGTTTGGGGGGCCCCGCACCCCCAGCGCGGCACCGGGGGGGCCGGCTCGGCCTCCCCCCGCTCACGCGCTCCCGTTATCTCCGGTGTCACCGGAGCGCTGACAGCCCCGCCGGGGGCGGCTCTCTCGCTCCCTGCCCGTAAGGGAACACCCCAAGGTGTCCCGGGCCCGGTGACCTTCGGGGGGACCCCGCGGCGGCTTTGGGGTGCGCTTAGAGGGGATTTGTGCCGGGTTTGTAACGGGGGCTCCCCCTGCTTTGGGCTGGGGCGTGAGCTCCGTGCAGGTGGTTGCGTTTGGGGTAAAACCGGGGCCTTTGGACACTGAAGTTTTAGGGGCCCGAGGTGGCCGTGTGGCGGGGAGGGGGTGACACGGGGGACACGGTCCTGTCCCCTTCCCACCCTGGCGGCCCAGCCCGAAACCGCCGCGCTTGCGTCAGGTATCGGGGGCGGCTCCCGGCCGGGCCGGGCCGGGCGCGGCTCCGCCGCTCCGGACTTCGCTCCCGGCTCCTCCCGGAGCCCGCCGGGATCCCCGGGGGGCCCCGGCTGATCGATCGTCCCCTCGCTGTCCCCCCGCTGTCCCCCCGCTGTCCCCGCAGCCCGGCGCCGTGGAGGGCAAGGGCGGCGGCAAGGCCAGCATGCTGCGGGGCCGCAACGCCGGCACGGCCGCCGAGGAGCAGCCGCACATCGGCAACTACCGGCTCCTGAAAACCATCGGCAAGGGCAACTTCGCCAAGGTGAAGCTGGCACGGCACGTCCTGACCGGCAAGGAGGTGAGCAGAACCTGGTCCTGCACGGGGTGGCACTGCGGGGACAGCGGGGGCCCACAGGGACACAGGGACAGGGTGGGCTCACAGGTGACACAGGGACACAGGGATGGGATGGGCCTGTGAGTGACACCGTGACACAGGGACAGCGGGGGCTCACAGGTGACACAGGGACACAGGGACAGGGTGGGCTCACAGGTGACACCGTGTGTGGGGACAGCGTGGGCTCACAGGGGACACAGGGACAGCGTGGGCTCACAGGTGACACCACGACAGGGACAGGATGGGCTCAGCCCATGGGTGACACCGTGTGCAGGGACAGGATGGGCTCACAGGTGACACCGTGACACAGGGACAGGTTGGGCCTGTGGGTGACACTGTGACACAGGGACAGGCTGTGTCCTGTGGGTGACACCGTGTGCGGGGACAGCGTGGGCTCACAGGGACACAGGGATGGGATCAGCCCATGGGTGACACCGTGTGGGGACAGGATGGGTCCTGTGAGTGACACTGTGACACAGGGATGGGATCAGCCTGTGGTGACACCGTGGTGTGAGGATGGGATCAGTCTGGGGGTGACACCGTGACACAGAGACTGGATGGGCCCCGGGTGACACTGTGACACAGGGACAGGATGGGTCCTGTGGGTGACACCATGACACAGGGACAGGCCATGTCCTGTGGGTGCCACCCCAGTGTGGGGACAGTTCTGGCTCCTGGTGCTTGCCCTGGGAGTGCCACCCCAGCGTGGGGACAGTCCCTGTTCCCGCAGTGCCACCGTGCTGCGGGCACAGCTTTGTGTCCTGGTCCTTGCCCTGGGAGTGCCACCGTGGCCCCGGGGTGCCTTCCTGTCCCCAGCCGTGGGTGCCACTGCAGCGCGGGGACAGCTCTGGGCTCCTGTGGCTGTCACCGCAGGGACGGGCCCGTTGTCCTCGTCCCATGGGTGGCACCGTGCTGTGGGGACAGCCCTGGCTGCTGTCCCTGCCCTGGGAGTGCCACCTGGCACAGGAACGAGTTTCCTGCTCCTCAGCTGTGACTGTCACCGTGCTGTGGGGACACTTCTGTGCCCTGGGGGTGCCACCATGGCACAGGGATGGTCCCAGGTGCTCTGTCCTCATCCCATGAGTGCCACCAGGGTGTGGGGACAGCCCTGTCCCCCTGCCCCTCCCCTTGTGGGTGCCACCACATTCTGGGGACAGCCCTGGGCACGCTCTGACCCCGCTGTCCCCTCACAGGTGGCCGTGAAGATCATTGACAAGACACAGCTCAACTCCTCCAGCCTGCAGAAGGTGAGGTGGTGTCCCTGGGGGGGTGACAGCCGAATTTGGGGTGACAAATGGGGAATTGTCCCCTCTGACACCCCCAAAATCCCCCCTGTCCCTGTCCCCCGCAGCTCTTCCGGGAAGTGCGAATAATGAAGGTCCTGAACCACCCCAACATAGGTGAGACCCCCCAGACCCCCCAGCTGCACCCCCACCCCTCCCCGGGGGTGTCCCCCACCCTTGGGGGTGTCCCCACCCTTGGGGGGTGTCCCAGGGGTGTCCAACCCCCGTCCCCCCTTGCAGTGAAGCTCTTTGAGGTGATCGAGACGGAGAAGACGCTGTACCTGGTGATGGAGTACGCCAGCGGCGGTGAGCGGGGACTGGGGCACTGGGGGGACTGGGGACACTGGGGGGACTGGGGGGAACTGGGGGGAACTGGGGGGGGTCCTGGGGGGTCCCTGGGCTCGGGGGGGACCTCGGGGTGCCCCTCACCCCCACTCCGTGCCCCCCGAGGAGGTGTTCAATGACCTGGTGTGGATTTGGGGATATTCTTGGGGGATGTTTTGGGATATTTTCTGGGGGTATTTGGGATGATGTTTGGGGTATTTTGGGGGGATATTTTTGGGAGATATTTTGGGATATTTTGGGGGATGTTTTGGGATATTTTTGGGGTATTTTTGGGGTGTCCTGACCCAGGTGTGTCCCCCAGGTGAGGTGTTCGATTTTGGGGGATATTTTGGGGGGTGTTTTTGGGGTGTCCTGACCCAGGTGTGTCCCCCAGGTGAGGTGTTCGATTTTGGGGGATATTTTGGGGTATTTTGGGATATTTTGGGATATTTTTGGGGTGGTTTTGGGGTGTCCTGACCCAGGTGTGCCCCCCAGGTGAGGTGTTCGATTTTGGGGGATATTTTGGGGGTTTTTTTGGGGTGTTTTTGGGGTGTCCTGACCCAGGTGTGCCCCCCAGGTGAGGTGTTCGATTACCTGGTGGCCCACGGGCGCATGAAGGAGAAGGAGGCGCGGGCCAAGTTCCGACAGGTCTGGGGGGGGTGAAGCTGTTGGACGACCCCCAGAAGGGTTGGGGACCCCCCCCCCCCGTGTCCCCAAGGGGGCTGGGGGTGTCCCTGTGCCCCCACCTGGGCTGGGCACCCCCTGACCCCCCCTGTCCTGCAGATAGTGTCGGCCGTGCAGTACTGCCACCAGAAATTCATCGTGCACAGGGACCTGAAGGTGAGAGCCCCCCCGGGACCCCCTGACAGCCCTGGGGCCCCCAGAGCAGAGCTCCCAATATCTCTGGGCCTCCCAGGTGGGTGCCAGGACCCTCCAGGACAGCACCTGGGACCCCTGGGGAGGCACCAGCACCCCCAGACCCACCCCTGAACCCCCCATGGGGACCCAAAACCACCCATGGGGACCTCAAACCACCCATGGGGACCTCAAAACCACCCATGGGGACCTCAAACGCCCCATGGGGACTCAAACCATCCCTAGGGACCCCCCCAGACCCCAATAACCCCCCTGGGGTGCTCTCCCTGCCTGGGCCAGGCCGAGAACCTGCTGCTGTCCTGTCAGACCCACTGTCCCTGTCCCTCTATCCCTGTCCCCACCAATGTCCCCACTGATGTCCCCAAATGTCCCCAGGCCGAGAACCTGCTGCTGGACGCCGACACCCAGATCCCATCCCAGTGTCCCTGTCCCTCTGTCCCTGTCCCCATGGCCCCATTCCTGTCCCAATGTCCCTGTCCCTGATGATGTCCCCAGGCTGAGAACCTGCTGCTGGACACCAACACCAACACCCAGATCCCATCCCAGTGTCCCTGTGACCCCACCGATGTCCCCATGTCCCTGATTATGTCCCCATGTCCCTGATGATGTCCCCCCTGTCCCTGATGATGTCCCCAGGCTGAGAACCTGCTGCTGGACACCAACACCCAGATCCCATCCCAGTGTCCCTGTGACCCCACTGATGTCCCCGTGTCCCTGATGATGTCCCCATGTCCCTGATGATGTCCCCATGTCCCTGATGATGTCCCCGTGTCCCTGATGATGTCCCCACATGTCCCCAGGCCGAGAACCTGCTGCTGGACACCAACATCAAGATCCCATCCCAGTGTCCCTCTGGCAGTGTCCCTGTCCCCATGGCCCCATTCCTGTCCCAATGTCCCCATGTCCCTGATGATGTCCCCATGTCCCTGATGATGTCCCCACGTCCCTGATGATGTCCCCACACATCCCCAGGCTGAGAACCTGCTGCTGGACGCCGACATGAACATCAAGATCGCGGATTTTGGCTTCAGCAACGAGTTCACGTTCGGGAACAAGCTGGACACGTTCTGCGGCTCGCCCCCGTACGCCGCCCCCGAGCTCTTCCAGGGCAAGAAGTACGACGGGCCCGAGGTGGACGTGTGGAGCCTGGGGGTCATCCTGTACACGCTGGTCAGCGGCTCGCTGCCCTTCGACGGCCAGAACCTCAAGGTGGGGCTGGGTTTGGGGTCACTGTGGGGGGTTTGGGGTGTGGGGAGTGGGCCTGGCTCCCTGAGGGTGCTTTGGGGTCACCATGGGTGCTTTGGGCTCCTCGGGTGGGTTTGGGGTCCCTGTGGGTGGGCCTGGCTCCCTAAGGGTGCTATGGGGTCACCATGGGGGGTTTGGGGTGTGGGGAGTGGGCCTGGCTCCCTGAGGGTGCTTTGGGGTCACTGTGGGTGGGTTTGGGGTGCCTGTGGGTGGGCCTGGCTCCCTAAGGGTGCTTTGGGGTCACCATGGGTGGGCTTGGCTCCCTAAGGGTGCTATGGGGTCGCCATGGGTGGTTTGGGGTCTCCATGCTGGTTTGGTGGTGACCATGGGTGGATTTGGGGTCACCATGGGTGGTTTGGGGGACCCCATGGTGGTTTTGGGGTCCAGGGTGTGGCTTTGGAGTCACCCTGGATGGTATTGTGGTGTCCACAGGTCGTTTTAGGGCCCACGGGGTGGTTTTGGGGTGGTTTCGGGGTCTCTCAGCTGTTGTTTTTGGGGTGGTTTTGGGGTCTCTCTGTGGTTTTTGGGGTGGTTTTGGGGTCTCTCCGTGGTTTTGGGGTTCCCATGGGTGTTTTGGGGCGCACAGGAGCTGCGGGGAGCGGGTGCTGCGGGGCAAGTACCGGATCCCCTTCTACATGTCCACGGATTGTGAGAACCTGCTCAAGAAGTTCCTGATCCTCAACCCCACCAAGAGGGGCACCCTGGAGGTGAGGGGACCCCCAGCCTCATCCTGGGACCCCAAACCCACCCCAGGACCTTGTGGGACCCCCAGCCTCATCCTGGGACCCCAAACCCACCCCAGGACCTTGTGGGACCCCCAGCCTCATCCTGGGACCCCCAGCCTCATCCTGGGACCCCAAACCCACCCAGGACCTTGTGGGGACCCCCAGCCTCATCCTGGGACCCCCAGCCTCATCCTGGGACCCCAAACCCACCCCAGGACCTTGTGGGGACCCTCAACTTCATCCTGGGACCCCAAATCCAGCCCAGGACCTTCTGGGAACCCCCAGCTTCATCCTGGGACCCCCAACTTCATCCTGGGACCCCAAATAGCACCCCAGGATCTTCTGGGGACCCCCAGCTTCATCCTGGGACCCCCAACTTCATCCTGGAACCCCAAATCCACCCCAGGACCTTCTGGGGACCCCCAGCTTCATCCTGGGACCCCCAGCGTGGTTCTGGGAACCTCAGAGCACCCCAAACCCTCATGGGGACCTCCCTGGGGTCCTCTCCCGTCCCCAAAGTGTCCCCGAGGTGAGCCCGGCCCCGCTGTGTCCCCAGCAAATCATGAAGGATCGCTGGATGAACGTGGGCCACGAGGACGATGAGCTCAAGCCCTACATGGAGCCCGTGCCCGACTACAAGGACCCCCGCAGGACAGGTGGGACCTCGGGGTGCCCCCGGGGACACGGGGACAGCCGGGTGTCCCTGTGCCCCCCCTGAGGCCGTGTCACCCCCCAGAGCTGATGGTGTCCATGGGCTACACCCGGGAGGAGATCCAGGAGTCCCTGGTGGGGCAGAAATACAACGAGGTGATGGCCACATACCTGCTGCTGGAGCACAAGAGCTCCGAGGTGGGACACTGGGGACACCTGGGGACACTGGGGACACCCTGGGGACACTGGGGGCACATTGGGGACACTGGGGACACCTGGGGACACTGGGGACACATTGGGGACACTGGGGACACATTGGGGACACGGGGGATGGCAGGGACACCAGGGAATGGCAGAAATACAACGAGGTGATGGCCACATACCTGCTGCTGGAGCACAAGAGCTCCGAGGTGGGACACTCTGGGGACACCCTGGGGACACTGGGGGCCAGTGGGTGACAGGGAGGGAAGGGAGTGTGGGGGTCACGAGGGGACAACGAGAACATGGTGGGGACAATGAGGGGACACGGGGACAATGAGGGGACACAGTGACAAGGACACATTGTGATGGTGCAGCATCACCGAGATGTGAGGGGACACGGGGACGCTGAGGTGACACGGGGACACTGAGAGGATGGGGTGGGGACACAGGGGACCCCGTGCTGTCCTGTCCCCTGTCCCCAGCCGTGCCCGTGCCACCGTGTCCCTGTCCCCAGCTGTGCCCTGGTGGCACTGTCCCTGTCCCCGTCCCTGTCCCCGTCCCTGTCCCTATCCCTGTCCCCAGCCATGCCCTGGTGGCACATCCCTGTCCCCCTCCCTGTCCCCGTCCCTGCCTGGTGTGTGTCCCCCATGTCCCCCATGTCCCATATGTCCCACATGTCCCCACATGTCCCCACATGTCCCCAATGTCCCCAGCTGGAGGAGAACCTGTCCCTGAAGCCCCGCGTGGCCCCGGAGGTGGCCAACAGCTCGGGCCCCTCCCCCGCTCACAAGGTGCAGCGCAGCGTCTCAGCCAACCCCAAACGGAGAGTGAGCGACCAGGGTGAGAGAGACCCCAAATGGGACCCCAAAACGGGGACAGGGACCCCAAAACAGAGACCCCAAAACGGGCACAGGGACCCCAAAACAGGGACCCCAAAACGGGGACACGGGGGATGAGCGACCAGGGTGAGACAGACCCCAAACGGGACCCCAAAATGGGCACAGGGACCCCAAAACAGGGACCCCAAAACGGGGACACGGGGGGTGAGCGACCAGGGTGAGACAGACCCCAAATGGGACCCCAAAACGGGGACAGGGACCCCAAAACGGGGACCCCAAAATGGGGACACAGGGGGGACACGGGGCTGTGAGCGACCAGGGTGAGAGCCCAAAGGCTGAAACCCCAAACTGGGGACATTGGGCACCCCCCAAATGGGGACAGTGTGGGTTGGAGCTGTGGGTGGGTGCCTCCCTCAGGACCCTCACGGGGCAGTTTTAGGGTGGCTTTGGGGCTGGTTTGGGGTCGGTTTTGGGGTCGGTTTGGGACAGGTTTGGAGTTGGTTTTGGGGTCGGTTTTGGGCCGGTTTTGGGGTCGGTTTTGGGGTTGGTTTTGGGCCGGTTTTGGGGTCGGTTTTGGGGCCAGTTCTGGGCCGGTTTTAGGGTCGGTTTTGGGGTCGGTTTTGGGGAGGTTTTGGGGCCGTGCCATGTGACCCGGGGGACCCCGATGAGCAGGGGCTGAAGGGGAACGGGGGCTCCCCGTGGAACCCCCCCTGACAGCCCCTCCCGCCCCAGCCGGGCTCTCCATCCCCACCTCGGCCTCGTACTCCAAGAAAACGCAGGCGGCCAACGCCGAGAACAAGCGAGGAGGAGGAGGAGGAGGAGGAGGAGGAGCGGGAGGAGGAGGAGGAGGAGGAGCCGGGGAGGAAGAGGGCGGCGGGGGCGGGGGGCGCCGGGCCGGCAGCACGGCCAAGGTGCCCCCGAGCCCCCTGCCCGGCCTGGAGCGATCCAAGGGCACCCCCTCCCCATCCACGGTCAGTGCGGCGGGGGGTGAGGGGGGTCCCCAACACGGGAACAGCCCCGGATTGGGGAGGGGGGTACCCAACACTGGATCCCCCCTGGATTTGGGGAATGGGGTCCCCAACACCGGGAACACCCCTGGATTTGGGGAGGGGGGTACCCAACACCGGGAACAGCCCTGGATTGGGGAGGGGGGTACCCAACACGGGAACACCCCTGGATTTGGAGAGGGGGGGACTGAAACCCCCCTGGATTTGGGGAATGGGGTCCCCAACACTGGAACACCCCTGGATTTGGGGAGGGGGGTCCCCAACACTGGAACACCCCCGGATTTGGGGAGGGGGGTCCCCAACACCTGGAACCCCCCTGGATTTGGGGTCAGCCCCTGCAGGGGTGGGGCTGGGGGTGGCCGTCCCTGGGTCCCCAGGGTGGGTCTGGGGTCTCTCGGTGCCCACTGGAGGGTCCCCAGGTCCCGTGGGTGCTGTTTGGGGGTTTGGGGACCCCCGTGCCCCCCCCAGCGCCCCCATTTCTGTGTCCCCCCCAGAACTCGGTGCTGTCCACGGGCACCACGCGCAGCAGGAACTCGCCCCTGCTGGACCGGGCCAGCCTGGGCCAGAGCTCCCTGCAGAACGGCAAGGACAGGTGGGGACCCCTCCCCAGGGCCCCCCGGCCCTGCTGCCCACCCTGGGGGGCTCGGGGGGCCCCGAGGGTGCTGGGGTGGAGATGGGGAGGGTGTGTGATCACCCCCAGCCCCCAATTCCTGCATCCACTGGGGGCTGGGGAGAGCCCCGGATTCACATGGGGGGGCCCTGGGTGCCGGGGGGGGGCTTGGGGCTGTTCCCAGGGACAGCAGTGTCCCCCCTTCAGGGGCCTGGGGGGGTCCCTGGGTGCCGGGAGGGACTCAGGGGGGTCCCTGGAGGTTGGGAGGGACTCAGGGGTGACCCCCACCCCATGTCCCCCATTCAGGGGGCTGTCCCTGGGTGCCAGGGGGGGGCTCAGGGCTGTCCCTGGGTGCCGGGGGGGGCTCAGTGCTGTCCCTGGGTGCTGGGGGGGCTCAGGGCTGTCCCTGGGTGCTGGGGGGGCTCAGGGCTGTCCCTGGGTGCTGGGGGGGCTCAGGGCTGTCCCTGGGTGCTGGAGGGGTCTCAGTGCTGTCCCTGGGTGCCGGGGGGGCTCAGGGCTGTCCCTGGGTGCCGGGGGGGGCTCAGGGCTGTCCCTGGATGTCAGGGGGGTCTCAGGGCTGTCCCTGGGTACCAGGGGGGGGTCTCAGTGCTGTCCCTGGGTGCCGGGGTGGGGCTCTCAGTGCTGCCCCCCCCTAACCCCCGTTTGTGCCCCCATCCCCCAGCAGTGCCCCCCCCCGGGTCCCCGCCGCCTCCCCCTCTGCCCACAACGTCAGCCAGGCCGGGGGTCCCGGGGAGCGGCCCAGCTTCCCCCGGGGGGTGTCGAGCCGCAGCACCTTCCACGCGGGGCAGCTGCGGGCGCCGCGGGACCCCCGGGACCCCCGGGACCCCCTGCCCTACGCGCTGCCCCCGGGGCTGCCCCCGCCCGCCTCGCCCTCGGGTGCCAGCCAGGGCCGCCGCGGCCCCAGCGCCAGCCTCTTCAGCAAGTTCACCTCCAAGTTCGTGCGCAGGTGAGCGCCCGGGCTGGGCCGGGCACCGCGCGGCCCCTCCTGTGTCCTCCCCCTCCCACGGTGTGTTCTGGGCTCTCGCTGTCCCCTCAGTGTCCCCCTCGGTGTCCCCTCAGTGTCCCCTCGGTGTCCCTGGCTGTGCCCTTTGTGGTTTGTTCCTCTGTGTGTCCTGGGCTCTCCCCTCGGTGTCACCTCCAGGCCTTCTCTGTCCCCTCTGTTTGTCCCCTCTGAGGGCTCCTCGGTGTCCCCTGGGTCCCTTCTGTGTTTCTGTGTCCCCTCGGTGTTCTCAGGGCTTGTGTTCTTCTCCTCCCTCTGTGTCCCCCCATGTCCCTGAATGTCCCCTCAGGGACCCCCCATGTCCCTGAATGTCCCATTGGGGACCCCCCATGTCCCTGAATGTCCCATTGGGGACCCCCCATGTCCCCCCCATGTCCCTGAATGTCCCATTGGGGGCCCCCCCCATGTCCCCTCCTGTCCCCCCCTCTCCTACTGGGGACCCCCCCATGTCCCCCTCATGTCCCCTCTGTCCCTTTGGGCCCCCCCATGTCCCCCCTGTCCCATTGGGGACCCCCCCCATGTCCCCCTCATGTCCCCCCTGTCCCTTTGGGCCCCCCCATGTCCCCCCCATGTCCCCCCTGTCCCTCTGTCCCCACAGACCCCGGGGGGGTTTTGGTTTTGCTTTTCCCCGGCCCCCCTGACCCCTCCCCCTCTCAGGGGTCTCTGGGGTTTTGGGGGGGCTCTGGGGGGGAGGGGGTGGCTCTGTCCCTCCCGTCCCCTCCCCCCCCCCAACGTCCCCTTCTCTTCTGTTTGTCTTTGTAGAAATCTGTCTTTCAGGTTTGCCAGAAGGTAGGGCCGCGCCGGACCCCCCGCATGGCACCCCCAAAACGCCCAAACCCCCCCGGACCCCCCGACCCCTCCCCAGAGCTGCACGGCCCCCGCATGCCCCCCCCGCTCGTCCGTCCGTCCGTCTGTCCGTGTGTCCCCCCGTGTGTCCATGTGTCCCCCCCGTGTGTCCGTGTGTCCCCCGCCCCTCCCCCTCCCCCCCGTGCTGTCTGTGCCCCCCCCGGGGGTGGGGGAGGGGCTGTGCCCCCCCCCAGCCCCCCCTGGCTGAGCTGGGCCCCCCTTTTGTCTCCCGAGGAACCCCCACGAGCCCGAGAGCAAGGAGAGGGTGGAGACCCTCAGGTGAGTCGGGGACACCTGGGGACAGCCCTGGGGACACCCCTGGGGACACCCTTGGGGACACCCTGGGATCCCTGAGACACCCCTGGGGCCCTGGGACACCCCTGGGATCCCTGTGCCACCCTCATGGTCCCTGTGACAACCCCAGGGGTGACCAACCCCTCTTGGTCACCCCATGGTGCCACCCCAGACCCTGAGAAGGACCCCCAGGACCCCCCTGACACCCCGTTTCTCCCCCCAGACCTGCGGTGGGCCCCGAGAAGGATCCCCAGGACCCCAGTTACGCCCCAGGACCCCAACTGCCCCCCTAGGACCCCAATTACCCCCTGTTTTCCCCCCCTAACCCCCATTTGTCCCCCCAGACTGGCGGTGGGCCCCGAGAAGGATCCCCGGGACCCCAATTACACCCCCAGGACCCCAATTACACCCCCCGGACCCCAATTGCCCCCCCAGGACCCCAATTACCCCCCCAGGACCCCAATTACCCCCTGTTTTCCCCCCTAACCCCCATTTCCCCCCCAGGACCGGCGGTGGGCCCCGAGAAGGATCCCCGGGGGGACGCCGGGCGCGACGCCAAGCCGCGCTCCCTGCGCTTCACGTGGAGCATGAAGACCACGAGCTCGCTGGAGCCCGGGGAGATGCTGCGCGAGATCCGCAAGGTGCTGGACGCCAACAGCTGCCGCTGCGAGCCCCAGGAGCGCTTCGTGCTGCTCTGCGCCCACGGCGCGCCCGGGCACGACTCCTTCGTGCAGTGGGAGATGGAGGTGTGCAAACTGCCCCGGCTCTCGCTCAACGGCGTCCGCTTCAAGCGCATCGCCGGCACCTCCATGGCCTTCAAGAACATCGCCTCCAAGGTGGCCAACGAGCTCAAGCTCTGAGCCGCGCCTGCACGGGGCGGCCGCGGAGCTCCGGGGACACGGACGCGGAGGAGCGGCTCCGAGGGGGGCCGCGGAGCTCCGGGGACACGGACGCGGAGGAGCGGCTCCGAGGCGGCCGCGGAGCTCCGGGGACACGGACGCGGAGGAGCGGGCTCCGAGGCGGCCCGCGGAGCTCCGGGGACACGGACGCGGAGGAGCGGCTCTGAGGCGGCCGCGAGCTCAGGGGCTCTGAGCCACGGATGGGACACCGGGGCTCACCTGGGGACACGGCCACGGCCACCCTCGGAGCTGCGGCTCCTGGGGATGCGGGACACGGAGAGCCAGGAGCGGCTCCAAGGTGGCCACGGAGCTCCAGGGACCCGGTGGCCCAGGAGCGGCCCCTGAGCTGCAGCTCTTGGGACACGGACACGGAGAGCCGGGATGCGGCCGTGGAGCTCTGGGGACACGGACACGGTGACCCAGGAGCAGCTCCGAGGCGGCCGCCAGGCTGCAGCTGTTGAGGACCCGGTGACCCAGGAGCGGCCACATTGGAGCTGCGGCTCTTGGGGACACGGACAGAGTGACCCTGGAGTGGCCACCGAGCTCCGGCTCTTGGGGACACGGCCCACGGTGACCCGGGAGTGGCCCTGAGGTGGCCACGGAGCCACGGACACGGCGGGGGAACGCCCACGGGGGGGACACGGGAGCACCAGGATGGACCTGGGGGCTCCAGGATGGACCTGGGGGCTCCTGGATGGGGCCTCGATCAACATCCAGGCCTTGGTGGGCACGTCCTGGATGGAGCCAGGAGCTCCTGGATGGACCTGGGACCTCCCGGGGTCACCTGGTTGGACCTTGTGCGGGGGTCCAGGTGACCACGGGGACACCCTGGATGGAGCCAGGGGCCACCTGGATGCACCTGGGGCCACCTGGATGCACCTGGGGGGCCGTCCTGTGGCATCCAGGGCCTTGTGAGGCTGTGGGGACATCCTGGATGGGCCTTTGGGGACAGGGCCAGGGTTTCATGGGGACATCCTGGGACCTGTTGGGGACATCCTGGTGGCACCTTGTGGGAGGGGGGAGCGAGGCTCATCTGGGGACAGGAGTGTGGCCCAAGGTGACCCCCAAGGCCCTTCTGAGGAGTCCTGGGGGCCATCGTGGACAGCCCAGGGACATCCCCGGTGCTTTGGGACATCCCCGGTGGCTTTGGGGACATCCCGGGTGGCTCCGGAGCAGCTGGGGTGGCCCCAGGGCCGCATGGGGACAATCCTGGGTCACCCGGGGGACACCCTGGGCGTCTCTGAGCCTTACGGGGGGGACACGGGACAGGCCGGGGGTGGCCTTAGGGGGGTGGGGGTGTCCCCTCCCCCCGGGGGATGCCGGTGTCCCCTGCCCCTCCCCCCCCCATTGGGGACAGGGTGTCCCCTGCCCCCTCCCCCCCAGGGCTGCCCCTCCCCCCGCACTCAGGAAGGCCCCGATGGGTGGGGGAGGGGCGGGGGCGCTGCTGCTGCCGAGGTGGCTCCGAGTGGGGGTGGGCCTCCCCTTCCCCCCCCCCATTTCTGTCCTGCTGTAGCCCCGCCCCGGGCACCGCCCCTGGGGGCGGGGACACTCGGGGGAGGGGCCAAGCCCAGGCCACGCCCCCTCTGCGGTGGATTTTCCAGGTTCTGATTAAAAACTTTCCAGAAAGATCCGCGGGCTCCGAGTGGTGCTCGAGGGTGAGGTGGGGTCGTGCTGCAGGCCCGGGCCCAGTGCTCCCAGTATGGACCAGCAATCCTAGTACAGACCAGTTCAGCCCAGTGCTCCCAGTCCACCCCAGTGCCCCCAGTGCCGCAGCACCCGCAGCCGCTGTACTAAAATACCTTTATTGCAAACTGGGACCCCCCAGGACCCCCCGGTCCTCCGGCCCAGCAGGGGGCGCTCAGCGGGGGCGGGGCGTGTCCGGCAGCCGGGGGGCGGGGCCTGGCGGCGGGGGCGTGGCCGGGGCGGAGCAGCGGGGGCGGGGCCCGGCCGGGCTGGAGGGGGGGCGGCGGCCGCGGGAGCGCGGGGGGCGGGGCTGGGGGCGGGCCGGGCGGAGCAGAGGGGGCGGGGCCGGCGGGGCGCGAGGGGGGCGGGGCCGCGCCGGGGGGTGGGGCCGAGGAGGGCGGCGGGGGCGGGGCCGGGCGGGAAACGCCCGTGATCTGCACCTGTGGAGAGAGAGGCGGGGCTGGGTGGGGCCGGGCAGGGATTGGGTGGGGGCCGGGCAGGGATTGGGTGGGGCTGGAAATGGGCGGGGCAGAGAATGGGTGGGACAGGGATGGGCTGTGGTGTGGGTGGGGCATGATCATTGATTGATTGCGGTGTGATTGATTGATTGGGGTGGATTGATAGAATGATTGATTGATTGATTGGGGTGGATTGATTGAATGATTGGGGTGTAATTAGTTGGTTGATTGATTGGAGTGGATTGATTGATTGATTGCGGTGGATCGATGATTGATTGAGTGACTGGGGCAGGGTCATTGTGCCAGGGACTGGCTCTGGTGTGGATCTGACCCAGTCCAGGATCAGAACTGGGACCAGTCCAAGCCCCCAGCCCAGGACTGGGAGCAGGGCAGGGACAGGGCCCGGGACCAGTTCCCAGCTCAGACCCCCCCCCCCCCAGCCCAGCCCTTCCTCACCTCCTCCTCCTCCTCCCGGTCGGGCTGGGGGCGCTCCCCGGGGGGCTCCCCCTGGCCCTGGCGCTCCTGCAGGAGCCGCTCCAGCCCCAGGCGGCGCCGCGGGCCCAGCACGAAGCTCCGAACCTGCGCCGCCGTTTTGTTGCCCAGCACGGCCGCGACCGCCGGGAAATCGCTGGCCGTAGCGGCGCAGGGCTGGCACCGGGACAGACAGACGGACAGTGAGGGACGGACACGGCGGACAACGAGGCCAATGAGGCCAACGAGGGCGGACGCTCACCCTGCACCACCAGCAGCTGCTCGTCCGTTGTCCAGCGGGGAGCTGAACTTGCTGTTGTTGCCCTGGGGGGTGAGGGGAAGGTGACTTTGGGGGACCGAGGGGACACAGCCGGGAGCTGCTGTGACACCGTGGGGGACACCGTGGGGACAGCGTGGGGCTCACAGGGACCCACCTCAGGCGGGCCGCAGCCCCTCCAGGCCCCCGTCCAGCGCCTGCCTGAGGCCCGCTGTTGATCTGCTTGATGCGCTGCACCTGCGGGGATGGAGCGGGGATTGGGGGAGGGGATTGGGGAGGGGATTGGGGAGGGATTGGGGAGGGATTGGGGAGGGGATTGGGGAGGGGATTGGGGAGGGATTGGGGAGGGATTGGGGAGGGGATTGGGGAGGGATTGGGGAGGGATGGGGAGGGGATTGGGGGAGGGATTGGGGAGGGGATTGGGGAGGGGATTGGGGAGGGGGCTCAGGGGGTTCTGCCGTAGTCCCGGGTTGGGAGGGCTCACCCTCACCTGCCGTTTCAGCGCCACCAGCTGGCAGTCGAGCTGCCGCAGCGCCCGCGCGCCCAGGTCGGGGTTCGCCGTCACCTCGGCCACGTCCTCGCGGCTCAGGCGCATCCCGCGGGGGGGGGCGGCGCCGCTGCCGCGCCGGGGGGTGGTGCCGGTACTGCGGCTCCTTGCGCGGCCCCGCCTTGGCCACGCACGGCTGGCAGCGGGGCCGTTAATGAGGCTCGTTTGTTAATTAGTGCAGGTGCTTGAATTGGTTATGGATGGGGAAACCCCCTGAGAACTCACACATTTCCCCCCCCCCCGGAACTTGGTACGTTCCGCCCCGGCCGCTGCTCTCCCCCGCCCCCCCCAGCAGGGGGCGCCACCTCTGCCCCATTTCTGGGCTTTTCCCCCAAATTTTGGGGTGTCCCGACCCTCCCCAGCTCACCCTCGTTGTTTTTAGGGTTTCCCCCCCATTCCCAAAGATTCCCCCAACTTTTGGGGGGTCCCACACCATCTTTAATTCCCCTCCCCAGCTCCTCCCTCCTTATCTTTAGGGATTCACCCCCATTTTGGGGTCTGACCCCATATTTAGGGGGTTCCCCCTTTTCCTCACCCCACCCTTGAAACCCACCCCACAAATTTCACCCTGTGACACACCCCCGAGCCCCCCCCCAAACCCCCCCTGTGCCCCCCAAACGCCCCCTGTGCCCCCACCTCCTTTTTGGGGTCCGCAGGCTCCAGGTCCCCGTCGGGGCTGGGCCGGTGCTCGTCGGTCTCGTCGTTGCTGGGGGGTCAGGGGGGTTTGGGGGTTCAGGGTGGGATTTGGGGGAGGGTTTTGGGGAGGTTCAGGGTGGGATTTTAGGGAGGTTTTTGGGGAGGTTTTGGGGATGTTTTTTGGGGGTTCAGGGTGAGATTTTGGGGTTTTAGGAACGTTTTTGGGAAGTTTTAGGAAGCTTTTTGGGAAGTTTTAGGAAGGTTTTGGGGAGGTTTTTGGGGAGGTTTTGGGGAAGTCTTGGGGAGGTTTTCGGAAGTTTTTTAGGAGGTTTTGGGTGGATTTTGGGTAGGTTTTCGGGGAGATTTTGGAGGGGCTGAGGGTGGATTCTGGGCAGGTTTCTGGGCAGGTTTCTGGGCAGGTTTCGGGGTGCCAGGATGGATTTTGGGGGGTCCTGTACCTGTCGTCGCGGTCGCGGCGGCCCAGGAGGCGCCGGGCCTGCCTGTCCATGACGCTGGTGCGGGACCGCGTCTTCTTCCAGGAGTAATAATACTTGACCAGGCTGGGGATCAGCTTGTCCGGGAGCTGGGACACACACAGGGGCTTGGGGGGCACGCAGGGGGCTTTGGGGGGGCTTGGGGGGGGTTTGGGGGAGTTTGGGGGGATTTGAGGGGGGTTTGGGGGGGTTTGAAGGGGTTTGGGGGGCACTCAGGGGGTTCGGGGAGGTTTAGAGGGGGTTTGGGGGCATTTAGGGGTGATTTGGTCTCTGGGATGGGGGGTGAGAGGTGAAGGAAGGGGTCACCCTGTAAATGGGGGGGAGAACCCTGAGATTCCCCCCAAAAAAAGGGGGAAAACCCCTAAAAATGGAGGATCAGGAACCCCTAGAAATAGGAAAGGGGGAAACAGCAGAGAAACCCTAAAGATGGGAGGGGTCAAGACCCCCAAAATCAGGGGGAACCCCCAAAAAATGGGCGGGAGGTACCACCTGGTGAGGGGGAAGGGGGAGGCTGGGATGTACCATCTCCTGTCAGGGGGGTGGCACCCCCTCATCTCCAAGAGGGTCCTGAGAGCCCAGAGCCCCCAGACGTCCCTGGGGGATCAACAACACCATCCAAACCCCCCAAAAAAACCCTCAAAAAATTAAAAACAGCCCAAAAAATCCAAAAATCAGCCCCAATAAATCCAAAATCAGCCCCCAAAAATCCAAAAATCAGCCCCAAAAATTCAAAAATCAGCCCCAAAAGTTCCCTGGTCGGGGCTGGATCCAAGCATGCTGAGGGAGGGGGGTCTGACCCTGGTGCTCTCTCTCTGAGGGGGATTCTGGCCCCCATTGCCCCCGCCCCAGGGGTTTTGGGGTCCTTTTTGGGTCCCTTGGGGGTCCCTTTGGGGGTCCCTTGGGGGGTCCCTTTTGGGGTCCCTTTGGGGTTCCCTTTTGGTCCCTTTGGGGGTCCCTTTGGGGTCCTTTTGGGGTCCCTTTTTGGTCCCCTTTGGGGTCCCTTTTGGGTCCCTTTTGGGGTCCCTTTGGGTCCCTTTTGGGGTCCCTTTTTGGTCCCTTTGGGCTCCCTTGGGGGGGTCCCTTTTGGGCTCCCTTTGGGGTCCCTTTTGGGGTCCCTTTTTGGTCCCTTTGTGCTCCCTTTGGGCTCCCTTTTGGGTCCCTTTGTGTCCCTTTGTGTCCCTTTGGCTCCCTGGCCCTCACCATCTGCTGGATGCGGGCGAAGCTCTTGCCGTGGCAGCTGAAGGCCTGCTCGAACAGCACCTTGTCCTCCACCGTCCACTCGTCCGGGAACGGGGTGAAGTTGGCCAGGTCAGCCAGGGACTTCTCCACGTCGTGCTTGTGCCACAGCAGCATGCCCAGGGCCTGGGCACCCCGGGGGGGGGGGTCAGGAGGGGATTTGGGGGGGTCAGGAGGGGATTTTGGGGGGTCAGGAGGGGATTTAGGGGGTCAGGAGGGGATTTAGGGGGTCAGGAGGGGATTTAGGGGGCCAGGAGGGGATTTAGGGGCTCGGGGCTCCGGGTACCTGCTCGATGTTGTAGCCGTGCTTGTCCTTGGCCATGGCGATGTACCTGTCCACTGGGGGGGTTATGGGGAGGGTGAGGGGGTTTGGGGGGTTTGGGGTGAGGGAGAGGGGTTGGGGGGGTTTTGGGGGGGTTTTGGGGGTTTGGGGGGGGTTTGGGGGGTTAAAGGGAGTAAAGGAAGAGTTAAAGGGGTAAAAAGGGGTTGGGAGGGTTGGAGGTTCTGGGGGCACAAAAGGGGGCGTTGGGGGATACCAGGGATGTTGGGGGTTCCAGGGGGGGTTGGGGGGTTCCATGGGGTGTTGGGGGTACCAGGGGGGTTTGGGGGTACCAGGGGGTGTTGGGGGTACCACGGGGTGTTGGGGGGTACCAGGGGCTTGTTGGGGGGTTCCAGGGGGTGTTGGGGGTACCAGGGGGTGTTGGGGGTTCCAGGGGGGTTTGGGGGTTCCAGGGAGGGTTGGGGGTACCAGGGGCTGTTGGGGGGTTCCAGGGAGGGTTGGGGGGTTCCATGGGCTGTTGGGGGTTCCAGGGGCTGTTGGGGGGTTCCAGGGGGTGTTGGGGGCCCCCCCGAGCCCCCCCTCCCGCGCAGGGTCCCCCCCCCGGGGGGGCGGGGGTCTCACGTTTTGGCGTCGGACACGCAGTGGTTGGGGGCCCACACCAGCATCCCCTTGAGCTCCTTGTTGCTGTAGCGAGCGGGGCTCTCTGGGGGGCACGGGGGGGTCTCACTGAGGGGGCGGGGGGCGCACACCCCGAACCCCCCCCCCCCCGGACCCCCGGCCCCTCCCCAAGCTCCGTACCTGGTTTGCAGTCGGGAATCACCGCCTGGTAGTCGGCCCCCACCCGGATCATGCTGTCTGCGGGGTCACGGGGGTGCCGGGGTTACCGGGGGGGCCCCGCTCAGCCCCCCCCCGCCCTCAGGGGCTCTTTGGGCCGGGGGGGGCCGCGGCCGAGCCCCCTCGCAGCGCCTCAGAACAAAGCTGCGGCCGCGCACACGCGGGCGCCCGGGGACAATGGGGACGGGGCTTTGTTCGCCCCCCCCGTGTCCCCGTGTGTCCCCCCCACCCCTCCGAACCCGGGGGGGGTCCGGGGGATGCCAGCGCTGCTGCCCCCTCCCCACGTTAACACCCGCGGGGTCCCCGGCATCCCCTGGGCTTTATTGGGGTGCGGGGGTGTCCTGGGGCTGGGGGCTCGCAGCTTTGATTTCATTTTATTGTATTTTGTTGTAATTTATTTTATTTCATTTTTTGGGGGGGGGGGTCACTCACCGTGGCCGTGCTCGTCCTCGCTGGCCTCATCCTCGGACTGGGGGGGTCCCGCGGCGCCCCCCCCCCGCCTTGGCGCGGCTGCGGGACAGGATCCCCGAGGGCTTCTCCATCACCGCCGGCATCCCCGGGCCCCCCGAGCCCCCGGGGTCCCGCACGGCCCCGCGGGGAGGGGGCTCGGCCCCGGTACCCCCCCCCTCACCAAACTGCCCCCGAGCGCGGGGTTTTGGGGAGGGGGCGTGGGAATGGGGCGGGGGGGAGGACGCGGGGCGGACCCGAGGGTCCCTCCCCCGGTAGGAGCGGGGGAGAACCGGGGGGGTTCCAGGGAGGGGTCCCGGTCCTGGGGGGGCCGTGCCGGGGTCCCGAGCCCGCACAAAGCGCCCGCGGCCGCTGCCGCCGCCTCCCGGTGCTAAAGTAGTTCCAGCTGCCGCGGCCTCAGCACGGCCCCGCCGCCCCCCGTACCCCTCCGCGCCGCCTCGGGGACCGGGGGGACCGGGGGGATCGGGGGTGACCTGGGGGGACCGAAGGGGTTTCGGGGGGGACCGGGGGGCACCGGGGGGGACCGGAGGAGCACAGGGGCGACCGGGGGGGATCGAGGGGACCTGGGGGACCAAGGGGATCGGGGGGACCGGGGGAAGCTGCGGTCTGTCCCATGTGGGGCTGGGTGCCCATGGGGATCCCCACCTCCATCACACTCTGTGGGGCTGGGGTCTGTCCCTGTTTGGGTCTGGGGTCTGTCCCCATGTGGGGTTGGGGTCTGTCCCTGTGTATGGCTGCCCCTATGGGGTCTGGGGTCTGTCCCTGTGTGTGGCTGCCCCTATGGGGTCTGGGGTCTGTCCCTGTGGGGTCTGGGGTCTGTCCCTCTATGGGTCCCCACCTCCATCATGCTCTGTGGGGCTGCCCCACATCCCCCGTCACCCCCTTCCCTCTGGGGCTGCCCTGCTGGGTCCTGTGGGGTGACCCCATTGCGGGAGGGTTTGGGGCTGGATCAGAGCTGGCAATCAGAGCTATGGGGCAGGGCTATGGGGTGGGCTGAGGGCTATGGGCAGGCATGTGTGGCAAACTGCAGTCTGTCAGTCCATACTGTGCTCTGTAGGGCCAGTTTGGGCTCTGTGGGGCCGGTTTAGGGCCGTACCAATCTCTGTGGGGCCATACCAGCCTCTTTGTGCCCATTTAGGCTGTACTGGATTTGTGGGGCCGGTTTATGGCT